GCTATATTATACTATAATAGACTTCACATTTTTTATTTATAATATACATTCATATGAATTATTTTTTATTTTTTAAATGTGAGGTAACTTTATATAGCTTATGTCCATATAAATTGGTTTTTAACTTTTTGATGGGAGATAACTATACTACACTTTATGCCTTATTTTTTATACCTTATATTCATATGAATTGCTTTTTAATTTTTCAAAGTTGATTAACTATATTATATTTCATATCTTATATTTTTTTATAATTTACATTTATATTTATTATTTTAAATTTTTTTATGTAAAATATTAAAATTTTAAATAATTTTTTTTTTCTGATGGACTTAGAACCTGATTTTCTGAACAGGTCAGCCCTTGTGATGGGGGTAATAATAATGGTTAAGACATCATCTATTTCTCAGCAATCAAGTGCTAATTCAACACCTCATTCAGCATAAAACCACGGCAGCAAATACAGCCAATGATCACGCACAATTCAAATCAAAACAATTTGCTGAATCAACAGTCAATCCATTCGAAGATAATGCTGATATATGATTGTGTTTCGAATATTCAAATGTATTCAATTTATATATACACAAATGTGACGAACTTATCTATAAATAGAAACACTTCATGCATTAAAATGCATTGAAGTCATTTGCAAACTATTCTATTTTTTACACGCTAATCTCGTCGGATTAAATTGCTCTGCTCCAAGTTTTGGAATCAAAGTAGAAGAAGTTGTTTGGATGAAAGCGGAAATAGTGGTATGGAATACCTTTCCAAACAAATGGTTATGATTTATCTGAATTTAAATCTGGAACATAAAATTCTTATAATTTATAATAAATTGTTTTTTTTTTCAAGTTTATTTAATATGAGATTGTAATTGCTTTTCAAATAATTTATTATACTAAAATATATATTAATAATTTTTTTATTTTTTAAAATTATATTTTACATAGTATATTAAAATGAAAATATTAAAAATATATTAATTTAAAATAAATAAAAAATATTTTTTAATTTTTTTAAAAAAATATTCTTAAATTACAGAAAAAAACAAGCTATATAATCTAACTCAGGTTTTACAGGTAAAAATTAGTCGGGAAATAATACAAACAAGTGAAAGAAGGGACAAATAGTCATGTAGATGAAGCGAAGCTGTTTTTGTTTGTTTATTACATGTCTGAACTCTGACCCTGCAGGTCTGAAGCCTTCCCATCCCATGTGCTTATCCCATGTGGGCGTGGTCTCGGGCTAGACCTGAATCCTTATCATTGCTTCTCTTCTCTCTCTTTTATTAAATTACTTTCCACCAGCAGTTAAATTCTATGGGTACACTAGCTTTATTTAAAAGTGTTTAAACCTTTTAAATGTGAATTTCAATCTATTTTTTATTTTTAAATTGTTTCTTAATATTTTTAAATTATAATAATAAGTTCATATTAAAAAAATATTTTAAATTATAATAATAAGTTCATATTAATTTTTTTTTAATAATTTCCTAAAACAAAACACGTCATCATATTTCTAACAACAAAATTCTCAGTGTTTTAATTGTTTAGAAAAATTTTCTTTACTGCTATATTTTAAAAATGTATAATATATTTTAATAATTAATATTAGCACATTAATTTTTTTAAATAATTTAATATTTTTTAAATAAAAAATAATTTCAAGAACATTATAAAAAAACAGAAGTTAACGTGACACCAAACAAATCATTTCTCTTTTAATATTTTGTAATTCAGCCACAGCTACATACCAACTCATATATGTTTGTCATGTAAGCCTAGAAAACAACATGGTACCTAGAAGTCAACCCGGTTCAAAGTTTGCAAATCAGAGAGGTTAATTTAATTCTTAAAAATAAAAAAATCCTAAATAATATTAATTTTTTCTTAATCTGGGTTTTTTTCACTAAACCGGTCCGGGGCTAGATCTTGACTCGGTAGATAAGCGGATTGAGACCGGGTCTTGTAATTATAGAAAACATTGAGACCAATGTGCTTAAAAAGTAAAGTAAGAGGAGTGAAAAAAAAATTGCAACTAAATGTGGGAAAGTGAAACATTTTAAATATGAATATCGATTCATTCATTCACAAACATTGCACCCGCACCCAAGAGACTCACCTCTCTGAAAATTAGTGTCAACTAACTTGCACAGTTGCCACCATCTCACCTCCTCACCCGCTCACCCGCCACAGCCACAGCAATGCCAAAATAAACACCGAAACTAGAAAGTTAATTACCAAACAAAAATGTCTCCTCTCCAAAAACCGCCGGTTGCCAATGATCTCAAGCACCGTGTCATAATCTGTCTCAACAAGCTCTCCGACCGTGACACTGTCTCCGTTGCCACCACAGAGCTCGAGTCCATAGCTAAAAACTTGTCTACTCCCGACTCCTTCTCACATTTCCTAAACTGTATTCACAACACTGATTCCTCCTCTAAATCTCCTGTCCGAAAACAATGCGTCTCTCTTTTAACTCTCCTCTCTCGCTCCCATGGCAACTCCCTCTCACCCCACCTCTCAAAAATGATATCCACCATCACTCGCCGCCTCCGTGACCCCGACTCTGCCGTCCGCTCTGCCTGCGTCGAAGCCACCTTTGCCATGTCTTCTCAGATCACGGACCCCCCCTTCTCAACTCTCTCCAAGCCGCTTATTGACTTGCTGATTATTGATCAGGATCTCAACGCTCAGATCGGGGCAGCTTTGTGTTTGGCGGCGGCCATTGAGGCAGCGCCAGAGCCAGAGGTAGAGCAGTTAAGGAAGGTGCTGCCGAGGCTTGGAAAGCTGGTTAAAGGAGAGGGTTTTAAAGCTAAGGCGGCTTTGTTGAGTGTGATTAGGAGTATTGTTGGCGTTGGTGGGGCGTCAAGTAAGGGAATTTTGGATTGGTTAGTGCCGTGTTTGGTTGAGTTTTTGTGTAGTGAAGATTGGGCCGCCAGAAAAGCCGCTGCTGAGGCCTTAGGGAAGGTGGCATCAATGGAGAAGAAGTTGGCGAAGGAACATAAAGCTACCTGTTTGACTTCTCTAGAGACCAGGAGGTTTGATAAGGTATGGAGTGCAGTTAATATTCTCTCTGTTTTTATTTCCTTGGGACTTGCTTGGTTGCTGAGAAAATGTGTACAGATTATAAGGTTCTTCTTCTTCTTCTTTTTTAATCAGAAGAGATTGCAGTTCGAAGGTAAAAAATTAAATTAAATTGCTGGCAATAGATCAATGAGTGTTTTGATTCCGACTGTTGCCAATTTCGTACTGATATAATTTTCGTGTATATAAAAAAAAAGGTAAAGGTGGTCAGGGAGACTATGAATCTTACATTGGAGTTGTGGAAGGAAGTACCAGGCATTTCTCAGGAAAGTTCAGTTCCATCTCAATCTACATGTTCTTCTATAGGTATCATCATCTTCTTTTCTCTCCTTATGAATCTTATTTATTATGATTGATGATTTCAGAAGGGTTCAAAGATCTGGTAAGCGTGACATTAACGTTGAAGTTAGTCTACTATTACTAGTCTTTGTAGTGAAGACAATCAGTATCGGAAATTTTGACACCATCAATTTATGTTCTTGTTGGATTTTGCCATGGGACCAGATAATGTTGCTGGTACATGCATCTCCTCTGCCTCCAAAAATTCTAAAGACGTTGGTTTCAGAACTCCTTTATCTAAGAAAACAGTCCCTGCAATTAGGTTCCCTCCTTCTGATGCTTCATCCATGACAGCTGCCAAAAAACAAAGCCCCGCAAAGAGCAATGACCACAATTCAAAGACAGGAATGTTACACAAGCTGGGCCATGATAGACAGTCTGCTTGGAAAATTGAAATTGCTACACCACAAGGAAAAGTTAGCGGTGATGATACAAGGCATGATTCTGAAGTTTTGGGATCAGTGCAGAATGGGGATGGAACAAGTTCTATGCGAGAAACAAGACGTGTCCTCTTCGGTAGCATCCGAGATGATAAATGGAACAAGTTCAGTGGTTTGAAATCTGGGTCACGCGTGGTTCCATTTCAGGAGGATGAAAACTGTTACAACAAAGATGTTGAAGTGAGCAGTTCTACTGAAGATTTTTATGAGAACCACAAAGATTTTGAGGATCTGTCTTTAATCCGTGAACAGCTTATTCAGATTGAAAACCAGCAGTCTAGTCTTTTAGACCTTCTCAAGGTACAATCAATAGTTGAATTTTGATCTCTCCTTCCGTGGCTTCCCTCTCTTATCCATAACTAACAAGTCATTGATGCCAATTGTGAAGGCTTTCATTTCCTCAGTTTGCCTACAGCATATTGTTGCTTGCTACCGCTCTTTTGGGACCATTTGCTTAGATGAGATAAAGCATGTTTTCTCTATATAATTTGTGATGGTGTCTTCAATTAATGGTCACATTTGCTACCCCCACTCAATAGAGATTAAACCCCTTACCATGCATCAACATTCCACCATCCATCCGCTTTTTTATGCAATCCTGCCATGAACACCCAATTATTGTGTTCTCTATTGTTTACTAATGCTTTCTTGGCAATCACTTAAGTGGAAAATACTGTGGTGCTCAAATGTTGAAAAGTAAATGCTGACTTCAATCGTCCCATCCTTTTCTTGAATTTAGGGATACATCGGGAGGTCCCAGGTTGGTATAAACTCTCTCGAGACACGTGTTCATGGCCTGGAGATGGCAGTGAATGAAATTTCATATGATTTGGCAGTATCAAGTGGAAGAATTCCTAAAGCTAACTATGCAGAGAACACATGTTGCAATCTTCCTGGTGCAGAATTCTTGAGTTCGAAGTTTTGGAGAACAGAATGCCGGTATGTTTGCAATGTTCCTGTTAAGAATGCTAGCATTGAAACATGCAACCCAGGAAGCCAAAGATATCAGCATCAGAATAGGGGTGGATTTGCTGTGAACACATCGGCAGGTTTTTCCAGCATAAATGGGCGGAATTCAGGATTCTATACAAGTCAAATGGCGAATAACACAAGTCGAGATGAACCTAAGCAGCAGGTGATTAAATATATGGTCTTGCACTAGGTTTACTACATTCGATTTTTCTCTCTACAATTTGATGCTATATTTTTTTTTTTTTTTTATCTTTTTGAACACACTAGGTTTACTACATTCGATTTTTCTCTTTACACGTTGATGCTATTTTATTTTTTTATTTTTTTATCATTTTGAACATCCATCAAATAAATCCTCTATGGTTGTTGGTATCACGACTAAGTGTTGTGATGGCAATGAACTACAAACTGCAAAATATTTATGTAAGTGAATATCTGAAGTGCTGCAAATGATTCCCAGTAGTTCTTTTGAATGGCACCATATGCTTTCCCATTTCATATCGATTTTCCACCGCAAAAATTTCTCATTCTATTTGTCAAACCAAAATTCATCATTCAATTGATGCTTGCATTGATACTTTTTCTTCATACTATCATTATAGCGTATTCTTGAAATTAGCATGGTTTCCTGTTGGCAATATCTTGAATATTCATCATGTATTTTTTACATCCAGTGTAGAACTGCAATTTCACTCGAATGCATTGTTTATATCCAGTGAAAGAGTTGCTATTTCATTGGTGATGATGTGTTGGATTTAGTGGTCCAGTTTAGTTTATTTGAATAAAAGAACTGGTTAAGATTTTGCTTAAAGCCAAGTTTTTTGGTGAATATTACGGATCCTTTCTGAGGTCCTCATAGCATGTATTTGAGGAGTTGATATCACTAAAGTTCACAATTATTAGAATTTTACCTATGGTCTAGTTCATTCATTTGCACAGTATGAGCTGACAAATATGGTTTTCTTGATACAATCTTGTTAGAGTAGGAAGTTGCTAGGGTTAATACCTTATGCTTTCCAAATCAACTTTCTATTTATCTGCATTTGTGTCATCAGGTTTCCTCCTAAATCAAAACAAGAGTAATTCTCGACAGCGTTGCAGCCGAGAGACAAGTGCATAACTATGAAAATTCTGGAATTCTGCCGCCTTATCACTGATTATACTGCCGACTTTGGGAGACAATTTCCAAATTTCTCCATTTAGAGGTGGCATTTTCTTTTGAAACACGCCACCTGAGCTAGCTAGCCTGCAATGATTCTTATTTAACATGAGTTGGCATCATTTGCTGATATAGAGAAGTAATATCTGTACATAGATTAGTTTTTTTCACGCTGTGGCTGCTTTGTATGGTGAATAAAGAATATTTTTGTGGGATAATCCACCCTGTGCCTAGAACCATGATGTATCTACCCCACTGAACAAATCATGCAAGATAGAACAGATGCGAGGTACTGCTACCAATCCTCTGCTTGCTTATATTGCATGGAGTTCCAACTTAGCTTGTGTGAAGGCTTTTGGAGCTTAGTTAAGGCTGTAAAACAATTGGAATAACTCAACTCGTTCTACAGATCGTTGCAGCTCATTCATGGAGGATGTGAATCGAGTTGAAACAAATATCTCTCGTTACTAAACTTGTTTTTTAGGTATTCGAGATAGTTTGCATGTTCTTTACTAATCTTATATAATTATGTAAATTTTTAATAGTTTTAGAGCATTTAAACTTATATTTATTAATAAATTTAAAACTTGACTAATTAAATTACTTTATGATTTAGACTTGAAGAAGCAATTAGATAGTATTTTATACAAAATTTATAATTTCTCTTAACAAATCTTTTACAAGAAGATTCTATGAATTTATTTGAGTGCTTCGGTCCGTGCAATTTAACTTCTGGAGAATTCAGTGTCGGCACACCTAGAAATTATTTTCAGTATACAAAAAACCCTAGAAATTATTTGTGTTTACCTGTAGGAGATTTTCTAGTTTTCTACTCTTTTTTTTTTCAAGAAATAGAAAACTAAAGAAAACGTGTTTTAGTAATTGAAAAAGAAAAAAATCTTGCAAACACATTTTCTAATTCTCTGAAAACTGGAACACATCAAAACAATTGTTTTCCAAATCTTTTATAAAAAAAAATTAAGGGTATTGTTTGGGTCATCTAATATTTTATATCCATTTCTCTTATTATTTTTAAGGTAAGCCAAACACAATTTTTCTTTTCTATTTGAGAAAATCAGTACTCGGGAAACATGTTTTCTTAATTTTTCATGGAAAATATTTTAAGAATAAATAAAATAATTTCTAAAAATAAACAAAATAAAAACTCCAGCTTAGTCAATTTGGATATTAGCTAAATAACCCTACGATTTCTATGAAACTATGATAGATATAGCTATAAAACAAAGATGGTTGTCTTTATCGGACAACGTGATTATAAAAATTAACAAAAAATGATTTTATTGAACTCAAAATAGAATGTAAACTACAGCTTTTCTAGTTTATATTATATATAAAAAAGAAAAATATATATAAATTTGATATAACAAATCCAATAAATAAAAAAATTCGAGTTTGCTTTAACCAAGAGCCATTGACTTGCATTTGACTAATAATAATATTGTTTGGATTTAAAAATTAATCAAGATGATAAAAACATTATAAAAAAAATTGAAACCAATTAATCCTACAAAAACTAACACTAAACATATTATAAAAACCAACTCAAATAAACCAAATGCTTAAAAAGACTTTTCCGCCTTGAAGAATAAAATTAAAACAATAAATTTTTTGATTGACTCGGGCTTTGCAGCCTAACTTGTAAGCCTGTGATTCGGATTATGAAGTCCAATAGTTTGGTTTATTTTATTTTGAACTTAATTATAGAAAAAAATATTTTACAAAAAGCTAAAGGATGAAATTGAAAGAAAACAAAATAAAGGAACAAAAAATTTACAAAATGATTTTTTTTAAATATTGACGTGATGACATACTGAAGCGGCCTGAGTCAACTTATGTTAATTTGTTACAGCCATGATTGAGATTTTGAGACTGTGATAATCTTGTAAAAATCAAATTTGAACATGTTAGTTCCATATAAAAGTAAAATAGATCATGGAAACAAATTCAAAATAAACCAATTGCTAAAAAAATAAAATTCAATCTAATATTTTAAAAAATATTTAGATAATAAAATATTGGATTGATCTAAACTTTGTGAATTAACCCGTTAAATCTATTACTTAGATCATGAATTCATTTATATTTAATTATTTTTTATTAAATTTATCTTTTACCTAATAAAAAAAAGCCTAAAAAGAGCTTAAATGCATGGGCTTAGTGGCCTAGCAAACCTAGGTCTTTTGATAAAAAAAGAGCTTAGATGATTTGTTGTCCGCTTCAATGTTTTTTTTTTTAAATTAAGTTGACAGTGCATCGTCTGTTGTTTGCAGAATTCGACAACTATAAGATCATCGGAAAACCAAGGTTTTTTTTTAAAAAAAAAACTAATTTTCAATCAATTTTTAACTAAAAATACATAGAAAACACTTTAAAAACCTAAGCAAACTTATTTATGGCATAAAAAAAAAAAAAAGCTTAGAAACTAAAATCAACTCAAACATGGAAAAATCCACCTTCTCAGACAAGGATAAACTAAAATCAACTCAAACATGAAAAAATCCACCTTCTCAGACAAGGATTAGAAAAAATAACACTTAGGTAAAATTCTTCTTGTTAAATAGATCTCAATGACACTAAAAGCGACATTTTTTATATTGAAATAGGTATTAATGATAACTTTTTCTATCTCTAATATCATTTGACAACTCTTTCTCTTCTTTTTCTCGGAAAAAAAATTAAAAAATTAAGAAAATAAAGTTTGGTATTAAAATTACATTCTAAAAACTAAAAGACTAACCATTTATTAATTAAAAAGTAAAGGAACCAAATTGAACATGTCATATAAAATTCTAAGTTGCCATTTATTTTACTTATCCTTTTTATTTTTATTTTGGTGATGTATTTTTTAATTTCATCATTTCTTAATAAATCAAAAGTAATTGGATTTCAATCTGGTTTAAAAGACTAAATGGTGGTTTAAAAGACTAAATGGAGGGATAAAATATTTGAAAATCAAATTGAAAAATTAAAAACATGCACTATTCTAATTCATAGGAGAAGCAGTGACAATCAATAGCAATGGTTGCCATTGTAAAATCACCGGAGGACCTAGTATCTTGTCATTTACTTGGACAGCACCATGATTTTGTCCAAATTATGAGAGACCTGACTATGAAACTTAGACGGAAGAAAATAGACATGCAAATCAACCTTTCATGAAGTTATGGGGTTGGGGTGGTGTGTTGGAGGAGAAATTTTATTTTGGCCGTGTTGAAGGAAGAAAAGTGAATACTTGGATCTACAGATCCGTCAAGATTTGATTTAAGCTTAATTCTACTTTTATTTTTGAATTTTAAAATTATGTTTTTGCTCATTTAATTGGACGAGAATAAGTAAAAATCATGATGAAAATAGATTTTTTTATACTGAGATTGTAAACTTGATCAAAATCAAAGCTATAAAATTTATGACATGATTTAAAACTTGAGTTATGAGTTGGATAAATCAATTTGAATTAAAATAATATTATTTTAAATTTTAAAAAAAAAAATTAAAATTAAATCAAGTTTTATCTAAATTTTAACAAAATTAACCATGTTAAGAGTTGAAGTTATACTTTATGCAGGTTGCTTGATGTTCAAGATGGCATGGTTACAATTTATTCCTTAAAGATTGAAGTTCTATTTGACATTGTTGTTTAGTCGTGTTTTCAAAGTTTTATTTTTTTTAGTTTTAAATTATTATTTTTTAGTATTTATAAATCATTTTGATATTAAAAATAAATTTTAAAAAATAATAAAATATATTATTTTAATATATTTTCAGATAAAAAACACTTTAAAAATTAATTTTTATCATACCATCAAATATGCTTTTAGTTGTGTTCACTGTTCATTGTCATACTTGTTATTGAAAATGAAAAAAAAAAATATTAATTTGAACATGTTTAGTTTTTTGTTTTGCAAAATAGTCTACAATCATGTAAAATTGATGTTTTCTAACGTTTTTTTTTTATATATATATGAAAACTAGAAATGGATTTGAAAAATAAAAAATGTTTTTTATATTTGAACATGTCCTTAAAACCATTTCAATATTTACAAAATATACAAAAAAAAAAAATTAGATAAAACAAGTAGCAATCCTCAATAACTTTTTTTTTTCATTTTTCATTCTCATATTTCTTTTTTTTAGTTGCAATCTTCTATGCCCAAATTAATGAACATTTTGCAAAAAATTGTTAAGGATAGAAAATATACCCAACAATGGAGGACCAAAGTATAAAGTAATTAAAAATTTCATGGGCAGTCTTAAATTTAATAGAAAAGGTTATCTTTAGCCCACCTCATTTCCTTTTTCTTACTCCAAATTCCCTTTA